TACCATTGCCGAAAGCCGCCACTTCACCCGCCCGTAGATAATTATCTTTCCCGACGGTTGTTTCGTTCCCCACCCTGACAATCGCGCGATTTTTTCTACTAACCTGCATATTTTACTTGGTTACATAAGTGTATAAATGTAAAGGCCTGATGAGAATTCATCGATAATGAATTTATGCTTGCCAAATTATTTTTTGAACTTTCCAATGGAATTTTCACGAGTATGTACAGATTAATAATTTAATTCCTCTCAATTGTGAGAAATTTTTAGATGCTAGCTACGAAAGTCAGCTCTCACAGAAACAATTCAAGCCTCTGGGTGTTATATCTAAGCGGTAAGATTTTTAGTGGCAGAAAATTCCCTAACCGAGAGGGCAATTACGCTTTAAATCAATGAGGACTAAATATAGTCCCACGAAAAAAAACTAAACTCCATGGAAGGGAAATAAAAGAAAACCGAAATTTAGTGACCTGTATTAGAACTGAAGCAGGCTACAATCGTTATTTTGGTAATTCAACTAACTTACTGCATTTAGTAAGTTTACTTTCCAGCTGCTATAACAACCGCCCGTTACAAGAAAGACTTTGGAGCTTTCGCAAGCTGAAGCCAGTCATATGCTTTATCTTTGCAATTTGTTACTGTAGGGATCCACTAAGTGGTCAATCATCCGGAAATTCAATCTCGATATTCTTGCTAATCGGATGATTCCCAACTTCACTGTACTCATGCCTATAAGCGCAACGTAATAGTTGAACACTTAGGCAATGCCAGCTTTTTCATTTTACCAGAAATTCATTTCAAACTCGGAGTAAATCAGTATGTTCAAGAATCTAAAGGTGTAGAACGAATAGTTGGACCGAAATCCATCGGTCACTGCAGGATAACTGTACAATATTAACAAGCTGCCCTCGGGCCGTAAGAAGTATTATCTTAACAAAACAGATGTCCTTTAAAATCTAACAGCGCAGTGATCTGCCCACAGACATGGCAAAAATAAAGGAAATTAGCCCGCTCTTTATTGAGTCCATACGCGTCGAAAGGAAGAAGTTTAAAAAAGCAAACTTCTTGGTCTAGACCGAAGGCCCTTGAATTACCTTACATACGAAAAACTAATCGATATTTTGCTTGTCCATAATGCAGTATGTTTTAAACTAACGGATTTTGGCTGGACTCCAAAGTTTCGAAACGGTCCAAGGTTACATATTGTTATAAAGCAGATTAAGAAGCGTAACACTTAGTGCAAATGAATGCGCAACTGACATCCTCTTCAGTATCCTGCAAACTTTAGCATTAGTGTCCCTAAAACGATGGGTTGTTGAGTGATTTTATAGAGAGCTCTAAGTAGACTCTTAGAATTAGTTCCTGTGTAAAATATTCTTAGTAGGCACAGTGGAAGATTGTCTGGGAAGTATTATAGGCCGCGTATCTGCGTTTATACATATGGAAGTCGACGTGAAGTGAACACAGGGCTTTCAAGCATAGTGACATCCAGCAGATTGATAAAATGGTCTTGTCACTTTCCAAAGTCTTACAGGGAACAAATGAAGATGACTATGATAAATTGTAAACCAAGTGAGGCAGCAGAAACAGCCTTCTTTTGAGTAAATGCGACCACGTGGAGCAATACTCAAATGTAAGCGTGGCTCCACAACGGCGCACACGCACAGCACACAACG